ATAGAAAAGCAGATTGGCAATATGATGTACTTGGTGAGAGGTGAAAAATTTACGTGCAGTAACCAGATCAGACAACGTTTTTCAGACATGAGTTACAGCGGTCCTGCAGAAGAAACGCCGATGGAGGTGATTTTCATTTGATCTAACAACACCTGCAACAATTTTACCTGAGGTATGCCGATCCAGGAGAAAAAAGAATTTAAAAGTGGATCAAAAAAACGTAGGAGATACGTTATGATGTTGCTTAAAAAAAAAATGAATTTTTTTTTTCTTGTTTTTTTTTTTTCATATTTCCTGTAAAAAATGAAAAATAAATAAAGAAAACTGTTTGCTCCTACGGAGTAAAGTTTTAGGGGGGGGATGTTATAGTGGAACTCACCTATTCTATAGTTAATAGACTCTCCCACCTATAATAAGTAGGAGTAGTAAGAGTAACGAGGGAGTCGCTCAGTGGGTCAGTCAACCGATGTCGGACGACCATTAGATTACTCTGCGTCATTACCTATTATATCAAGTTCCTAATGTTTTGTATGTCAAACCTATTTTAGGACTGACTTAGTACAAATACAAGCTTCCACTGTGAAACCACTCCATAACACCACTCAGTTCGCACACACCTTCCTAAAGCAACTCCAGCAACAAATAGAGTGATGCGAATATGACTATGAATTTGAGAAGACCATATTGGTAGATCACTTTATATTCCAAATAAACCACAAAACAATGCAAAAAGCCCTACTAAATGAAGGAAGGGATTTAACAATTGTGTCAGCTCTAAAAGTAGCAGAAACAGATGAAGCTACGATCAGACAACTGTAGGCTATTCATGCTCCGACAGAAACAATAACCATGCACATAAAAGCATGAGAAAATGCAGATATATGAGGCTGGACAGTGCCCAGCAAAGGGTAAAATGTGCATGAAGTGCAAGCATTTTGGCTCTCAAGTGAAAAAAGAATAGAAACAAAGATAACTAATAAGTTACATCATTACCAAAAAAAAGACGAGGTGCCAGAACATGCATACGGTGACACAACAGAGCAGCAGTGATGACGGATACACCAACAACATGTATATCCACATGGTGAAAACAGAAGACACAGACACAGGAGAACTACCTAATAGTGCAAAAGAAGCATACATAAAACTGAAAATGTGAAACAAAACAAAACAGGTGGAGGTAAATTCCAGAATTGATTCTGGAGCCATGAGCAACCTCCTACCACTTGAGGTATTCAGTAAACTACAGCATGTATAGCAATGAGAAAAGACTCCAGTATGTCTATTTGCATTTGGGGGTAATGCAATAAAACAAGAAGGCACATATCTCCTCGAAGTCGGGCACAGAGACACATTCACCAGTACCACATTCAACGTGGTAAAAACAAACAAACCAATGCTGGTAGGGTTACAGACATCCAGAAAACTCAGCTTGGTGACATTAACTCTAACATAGTGGAATCCTGGAAAGGTTGGAAAAGACTGAACAGTAAAAAAGCAGAAGAAATACCACCTAAACAAAACCTCAAAACTCAGGAACAGATCCTAAAAGAATTCTCTAACATATTTGTTAGGATAGGATGCCTACCAGGGGAATATGCAATAAACACAAGCCCCAAAGTACCACCACTTGTCCACCTACCATTCAGAGTCCCAGTATTACTGAGGGACAAATTCAAAGCTGAATTGGACGACCCTTGAAAAGTAGGTCATCATATCACCCATCGTAAAACCCACCTCATGGGTAAAGTCATTCGTATGTGTCTCCAAGGTGAACGAATCAGTTAAGTTATGCCTAGACCCAAAAGACTTAAATAAAGCCATGCAAAGAATCCACTTTGTAACACCCACATTTGAGGATATAGTCTCTAGACTACATGGAGCTAAGTGGTTTACAACTGTCAATGTGAAATCTGGATGTTGGCAGATGAAGCCAGATCAACAGCCAACGGAACTGATGACTTTCACCACGCCATTTGGATGATTTTTCTTCAACAGACTTCCAATGTGGGTGAAATGTGCACAAGGTGAATTCCAGAGAGCAATGTTTGAGAATTTTGGTGACATCAAGAACATTCTATCAATATTAAATGGTACCATTGTGTATAGATTTGAAGAAGATGGCAGTGATTATGATGCGACACTCAATGAACATCTTGGAAAAGCTTGGGAAAAGAACTGCAAGTTTAATCCTGATAAACTGAGGGTATGGGCATCTGAAATACCTTTCTTCAGTTATATAATATCAAAAGATAGTATAAAAGTTGTATCTTTGCTACAATGATTTCAATGCCTGTGATGCTGTTCATTTCTTCAGTATTGCACTATTCTTGACCCTGTCATCCTATTTTATATCATAATATGGCATGATGACTGTACATGTGAAAGGCATTGGGTTGATTTATGTGCTTGAGGTACAGGGTCCAAGTTTCAGCACCATAGAGAAAGGTTGAGAGAACGACTGATCTGTATCTGTTGATCTTTCCCCTGAGAGACACGTCTTTGGTGTTCCATAACCTATGTTTAAGTTTACCAAATGCTGTGCTGGCTTTGGTTATTCTGAATTGGATTTCTCTGTTCATTTTCCATCAGAAGAGACTGTTGATCCAAGATATGTGAACGCCTGAACAGTTTTAATACTGGACCATCAATGAATATGGAAGGATTTATGAGAGATGGATTGCCTGGCTGGTACATTAGTTCTGTCTTCTTTATGTTGATAGTGAGTTTTGCTGTTTCAGAGAATTTATCAAGGATAATTTGAATGTCTTCTAGACTGTGTGCTAATAGAGCAGCAGCATCTGCAAAGAGAAGATCATGTACCAGCTGCAGACCAAGTTTCAGTTGTGCTTTAAAATGCTGCTGATTGTATAGACCTCCACTTGTTCCGAATTCAGCATTGATTCCTTTACTTAAGTCAGAGAATGCTTTTTCAATCATAGCAGAAAAGAAAAATGTAAAGAGGAGGGGAGCAAGAACGCAACCTTGCTTTGTAATGTTGGAGATGAAAAAGGTGTCTGATTGCTCACTTCTTGATATTACAAAAGCTTTCATTCCTCCGTGAAAGGAGATAATGATGTGGAGCATTTTTTCTGGAACATCTAATTTTGACAAAATATTCCAAAGATAAGTTGTGGCATACAATGATTTTTATTTTAAAATAAGTGTTGTATATGTAATTTATTAAGAATATTTTGCCAAGACTTAACATAATGCATTGTATTTGTTTTATTTATTCTATAGTGGTATGAATAATTCTATATTCTAATCTATTTAAATTGGAATGTAATATTTTTTGAAACTAGAGTAAAGCTTTTAGAATTGTAATGTTTATTTTGTTTATCTTTCTTTGACTATTAGCTCATTATTGCCGGTTTCATTATTTATTATTATTTATATTCAAAGATTCTTTTAATAACATTTGATGAGATTTTAATTCTTTCACATTTTCTTATTTATTAATTGTAAAGTAATGTATTTCAAATTTGTTGGTAAAGCGTTTTCAATTGTAACGTTATTTTGTTTAAACATATATATATATAAACAAAGAGCAGTGATATGAATCTGCAGAGAACATGCCATCTCATTGATAATATACTTGCTAGTTCACCATTACCATCTCTTGTGCTTGCTGAATCTTCTCATCAGTGGTGGAAGTTATCGGCCAGCTTGTTCCTTCTTATTGCATCATGCTTGCCTGACCACTTTTAAACTTCTTAAGTCACTCATGCACACTTCTATGCAGTAGTTCACTGTCACTGTATTGTGTTAAAAGACTTTGATGAATTTCAGCTCCTGACATTTCTTCTGACCATTGGATCACTGCTTTTTGTTTTTCTTTGGCAAACACTGCTAGCAGAGTGACCATGTTTACACTGTAACAGCAGCAAGGAAACTGGTGTAATCAAGCTCAGACTTCAATCACATGACTACAATAGTAACAACTACAGGCACATATATTTAAAAGAGTCAATGTTTTATGATTAAAATTTATATTTTTTAATTTACAAAAAAAATTTTCAAAAACATTTTGAAGGACACAAGTGAGAGTGTGTCCTTCCAAAAGTTTTAAAAATACATTTTCAATAAATATTTGCAGCCACTTTTAATTCATCTGTATCATTCATAGTATTCAGCAAAGATACTTTTATTAACACTTCCAGGTCAACTCTTGGAACACTGTTTTTTTGGTAACTTTTATGACAATAAAAAGCAATCAGTTAACAAAACAGGTGCATTTTATTACAATTCATATAGTTTTTAATCTGCAATGAAATAATTGAATAATTCTCTAGGATTTGCAATAAAGACAATTCTGTATAATTGTCTTTATTGCAGATACTTGCTCATTTATGCCAAATCCATGTTTTATTTGTTCTAGATATTACTGTTAAATACTAAAAAATTCTCTTTATCTTCATGTCTTAAGGTTTTTGTTTTAAGATTTCTTATATTAGGAAAAATGTATTTGATTAAATTTAAATTAGTCACATTAACGATTGTCAATCATAGTATTTTCTTATTTGAAGTGAATAGTTTCAATAGAAATTTTGCAATTATTTTATATCTTTGTGGATAGAATTAGAAAAAAGCAAATACTGATATATTCTGCATATTATATTTAAATATAAGATTAAAAATTTCCAAAATGAATGGTACTTTTTGATTTTATATTTATAAATTATGTTGCAAAAATGTTACATCTCAGCTGCCTGAATTTATTTTAACCTTTTCAATACTAGGTTAATTTTTCAAAAGTCATACCAAACATAATAAAACTATAAAGTCATGAGAAACAAAAGACTTTGATATCAATAGAAACTCACTTATTGTACATTACAACTGTATTCATTAAACTGCTGAAAAGCACTGAAAGTTAAAAATTTTGTACCAAATTTTTATTATGTGAGAAGAGTATACTAAGAAAGTTTGAATTATAAACCCATGAAAAACAGTTGATTTATTCATTACAATTTTGTAAATTTTTTAAAAAATTTCAGGAATTACACATACAAACCAAGATTGACAGGCACTGAAAATGAAAAAGATTTGGTGGATGAACTTTACAACACATGGAAAGAAAATGGTTTACATAAAGTCATCAGAACTCCATACAAGGTGCTATTGTCATATCCGAATACTTCAATGCCAAATAAGGTAAATATTTTTTACATGCCTTCAATATTTAGAAAGGATAAGCTTATATTTTAATTTTATGTCTAAAGATATAAATTATTATTTAAATGGTTGGTTGGGAATCTATAAATTATCATTTGTATATTTGTATTTATATTACAAATCATTTTGAAAAGTGCATTTGAAGACAGCTATAATATTCACTTCCTTCTCATATCCTTGGCAAAATCTTAATCCACTTTCTTTTCCTGCCTCCACAAATGTGGACAGAGTGGACTTTCAAGTGTTGATGGGATAACTCTAAATTTAAAAATCATGGTGCAATGACACTACTGTCCCAAAACCAATCATGATTTGAAGTATGAAAAGTAAGAAGTAATGAAATATTTACAATATATTAAAAAATGGTTAAATAGGAAATGCATTTCTTTACAAAAAAGAAAATATGAGATAAATAACAAATTATTTTTCTTTTGATATTGAACTTCTGAAACAATTTAAATTTTGAAGATTAAATTCTTTATTTGTATGATTAATTTCTATGATCATGAAGAGTATGGAAAAAAAGGGAATTAATAAAGTTAGTTTTATGTTTAATTTTACTATTGGTTTTAGCCACACTGAAGAGATTAAAACATTATCTAATATAATAAAAAGCTTTTTATAATGAAAAATGTACTGAAAAAATTTAACTTTTTTTAAATCAACATTTTGGCATTGAAATTTGAACTTTAAAAACTTCAAAAGCTAGCAATGTTTTTCTTCTTTATACAAAGAAATAAAGCTAAAAATTTTTAATAGAATATATTTAAGCATCTTCATTTGCTTATGGAATCTGAATGAAAGATCCAACCATTTAAATAATAATTTATATCTTTAGACATAGATTCCATAAACAAATGAAGAAAGTTATTTAAGTCATTTTCACTTGTATTTTGTAATGACATAAATAACTTTTGTATAATTTTCATTTTACCTTATACTGTTAACAGAATAGATAAATTTATCTTTTTCCCCAAGTTTATAATAGAGAAGTTCTTTAATAAGCTAATATGAGTTCATTTAAAATTAACTAAGCTTAATAGCAAATTATTTTTACTATTTCTGCACATTCTTTATAGGCATGAGACAGACACTCTCCTTGCTCTGTGCATCACATTCCCTACATATCAGTGGTTAGAATTTATGATATACTTTTTCTTACTGAGTGTCATTGCTTCTTGAATTGTGTAAGCCATTCAAACTGTTGTGCTTAATATTATATACTTTCTTGATAAATTTTATTAGATGAATCATAGACTCTTGTAGCTTTTACAAAATGCTTTCTGGCACACTAATTGCCAATTATATAACAACCTATTATATGATATAAATGCTTCATATAAGCTTTTCTCTTAGTATTGCTTGTAAACTAGCCTTGATGTGCTTATTCTGTTATCAGTTGGACATTTGATAAATTGTTAAAATAATTCTTTGAATCTTCACTGATATGTTATCAGTAACTGTCCTAGCCAGTTTAATCCTTGGTTATAGTGTTTTCCATAAACTTGCTTGAAAGTTATTCTTTTTGTTAATTCTGATAACACTGTAATATTTATTTATATTTCCTGGCCAGCATATTTTATGCAAATTGTATGATGTGAAAGTATCACAGGGGCTACCTTGCGCTTGCATAAAAAAGAAGATTCATTACCGTAATTCCCCTTGTATAATATGCCTTCATCCATAATACGCACACCTAAAATTGTGTTGAAAATGTGGGAAAATGCTTCTACTCACGCATAATATGCATCCCATTGTTTGTTAATCAAACCCTATAAATTGTACCTCTCCAATTTTATTACGATCAGAATTTCCTACTCTTCCTAAAAAATTATTTTAAACATAGAATAATATTATTTTAATTTAGTTTTATGATAATTCTTATTTTATTTTATATTGGTAAGTATTGTTAGGTATGTATAATTTTTTTATAAGATTTTTTTATAGCTGTGCATAATATGTGCCTCTAATTTTGCTTATTATTTTTTGGAAAAAAATGTGTATTATACATGGGGAATTACGGTATTTGTCTATTGTTAAATATTTGTTCCTTTTGAATGTAGATAGAATAACAGTTAAATAATAACTTTAATAATATAAACAAACTTAAGATGTTTACAAAAGGAAACTTTAATCTTCATAATTTTAAATTATTTTATTCTGGAAATTATTAGGTGATGCTTTTTCTTTAAATAGAAAAATGTTTGTTTGAATAAATACTTAGTTTACAAATTTGAAGATGCTTTGAAAAACTTAGAAAATTTTAAAACTGTTACGTTTTGTTCAATGCTTAATAAATGCATTTTTTGGTTATCAAAAGATATGTACTAAAAAGGAATAAAACTTCTAAAACAGCTTTCTTTCATGTTTTCAATTTGATAATTAACGCGTTAATAGCAATATCAGGGATTGAATGTATTTAAATATAAAACTGGATGTCACTGCTGGGTGTTGACTTCAATGTTCACTTATATATATATATATATATATATATATATATATAAATATTGAGGCTCATTTCAGAAATGTAGAAAAATGCATATAGATTTAAGTAATGAAAATGCATAACACAGAAAGTAACTCAATTTTTGTGCATTAACAGCCTCCGGTTATTTGAATCTTTGTATTCATATATATTAACCAACCTATGACATCATACGAGACATGCAGTATTCTTTAGATTGGCAGATGGTAAAATATCTTAAAATGGAATTTTGGAGGCTCAACTTCAGAATATGTTCAACAATATTTTTATTACTTAAAAATATATATTAGTTAATAAGCTTGTGATTAAAAACTCTAAATTTTAGATTTTTCAGAGCCTACCTAGTTATTATAAATATGAACACTTCTTGTTCACTAATCAGTTTTTCAGTTTACCATGACCAGGGTGTTTGATCATTTGTCATACAAATGAAAACTAAAATTCTTACAATTAATTACTCATAGCTTTTGCTTATTTATTTGAGTATACAACATTACAAAAATTATTTTTAGTGAATGTGATGACATTCTGCTAACTTGTTTACATACTGCAACAGTAGGGACTAGCTTTCCTTTTCTTTCTTTCTTTCATCCAATCTATACTAAAATTTATACATACAGTTGAAAACAATGTAGCTCTGTGTCACATAGATCTGCACATATATAGATGCATTTATCGTTTATCATGTACTAACGCAATTCATTCAGGTGTAAAAAATGGATACACAAAGCATTTTTGTGTGAAGTTGTTCAGAAAATACTTTTGTAACTTATTTTTTTCAATTTGAAAGAAAAATAATACCCCAATAACTAAAAATTATTAAAATTTGTAGATCCATGTTTGAAGATTAATTTAATTCACACACACACACACACACACACATATATATATATATATATATATATATATATATATATATATATATATATATATATATATAACAGATTTAGAATGTCCATTGAGCTTTTGGTCAGTTTCTTTTGATGTTGAATAGGTCATTTGATATTTTGATATCAGGTAATATGCCAAAATTATGAGTAATGGGTACTTTTAAACTTTATCAGTCATCTTCAAGGAAAGAAGGTAGAAGTCTGTATAGCATTTATGTTGTTAACAGTATGAAGTTTGAAATGAAAGTAGTTTCATATGCTTTTATGGTGGAATAGATTTTAGTCATGTGACTAAAATGATTTTGTTTCAAAGGCACATACACTGATATTAAAACAAATATTATTGATTATGGCTTGCTGCCATCTGATGTGGATAGCCTCCAGAATTGTTTGTTACTTTTAAAGTTGGTTTGGCAGAGGACTTTTGTATTGTCAACCATAATCTGATAGTAATTAGAAGGGACACTTTGCTTGGAGATTTTCAAGAAGATACAACTTTCTTTTTTTATGTTGCAGCATAGAAAAGTTTTATCATTATTAAAAATAAAATATTCAGTAAAAAAGATAAATTTCATGAAAATAGCCAGTGAAATAAAGAAGTTAACAGAGTTGTATCACAGTAAATTTTATACCCAGTTTTCAACAATTGAGGGATTGAATATTCACAAAAGTTCAAGTGATGATTGCTGTTAAAATTTTCAGAACTTTTGGTGCAAAATCTTTTATTCCTTTATGATATTACATCGCCTTTCAGCAATTTGTATATTACATCATCAATAAACAATTTTAATTTTGTTTGAATTCATGCAACTTCTGGATCAACAAATAATGTATGGAGCATAACATGCAATAATCTGAAATGACAAGTCTGGAGAATATGCTACATATAGAAGAATGAAGCTGAATGGAAAGCAAGAAACCAGAAGAATGTTCCATAAGTGAGAGATGCAAGATAAGAAACCATTAGCATAGAATTTATAATTACATCTATCTAGCTTTTAAATAGTAAAATGACAAGAACTAGCTGATAATCTAATATTTTGCTTAAATTGGTAAAGTTGAGATACCAAAAGGTTAAGCTCATCAGAACAATTATCATAATAATATTTGTAGAAAAGGCACAGGGAAGCTACATTACTGTGGTGGGAAAGCAATTAAAGCCAAGATGTCAGATCATATTCTTCTTTGTATTTTATGAAGAATCTCTAAATACATAACAGAAGCACCAGATGTGACAGAAATATTTAGTGTATGGATGAATGATAGATTTATAAATGTGTAAGATAGATTCTTTGCCCCAGTTAACAACAGATTGTAGGTCATTTTTGAGGTTTGCTATCAATATTGAACTAATTAAATTTACCATTAAGACAGGAATAAATATTTGTGACATCAGGAAGGTGACTGATGAAAATTCGGAACACCATAGGTCCAAGGATAGACATATCCACATTAATGCAAAATGATCTAGAAGAGTGGCCATTCAAGATAAGTTTCATTTTGTGATTTGATAAGAAAAATTGAATCAGTTCATGAATTAATCCAGAAATACCATAACCTTTCAATTTGTGAAGAAGACCAGCATACCAAACCTTGTTATATACCTTTGAGATATCCAAAGCAAGAGCCTAAGCTTCACTATTTTTATCTAAAGCTTTATAGACTCATTCAGCAGTAACAGTCACTACAACAGCAATTGACCTAGAGATGTACAAGCCATATTTTTTTTCTGAAAGAAAACCCTGCAATGTGATATGCTTAACCAATTCAGAGTTAATTAGAACCTCTAGTATGTTGCCAAAAAGAGGTAGAAGTCCAATAGGTCGGTAGTTAGAAGAATTGGATAGTTCATTTAAGTTCTTAAAGACTGGAATACAGAAGAGGATTTTTAATGAGCAGGATATCTAGAAGCAGCAAGCCATTTATTTTAGAATTTAAAGAGAACAGGAGCCAATTCAAGAGCATATTTCTTAAGGACTGTTGTAGGGATACCATCAAGTCCACATCTTTTGATTCCAGTTTAGAGCTGAGAGCAGAAACTATAGATGGTTGTATGCATGTCATGCAATAGAAACGCAGTTCTAAATGGAAAGTTTAACCTTCTTTAGAACATAAAAATGCCAATTACATCCCTGGAAATTAGAATCTCTGTTAGGTAATGTAGAAATTTCTGCGAGATAATCTAAGTAAGGTCAGATGGACAATATCTGAAGCATTTTGTGATAAAAACATAAATGACAAGGAAACTGGTATGAAAGAAATAATATAAAATAATTATTAAAAAAAAATTAAACCTGATTGATTTGTAAAATATGGTATTTTAAAAGTGATAGTGATTATTGATTTTATTCATCGTATTTTTGTATGAAATTTTTTGCAGCAAATAACCCATTATTTAGAGAAATTTTTGTCGTTTACAGAAAAGTCAAGTTCAATTAAAGAATTGATAAAACTACTATTAGTCCAAAGATCTTCCTTCTTGGAACACAATGTGCTATTGAGAAGTATTTTTTCTGCCATTTTCTCATTCATGTACACATTAATAGTCTGATATATATATATATATATATATATATATATATATATATATATATATGTCATATTTTTCATGTATTTGATTATAAAATATATGTGACATTATTTCATTTTAGTTTCTTTTTTTTTTTCAGGTTCAAATTCTGGATAAAAGTGGCACATCACCATTATTTACATCACAGCCTTATGAAAAAAACTTATTAGGAGAAGATTCTTCATTAAAATTAGTGCCCCCTTATAATTCATTCAGTCCGAGTGGAGTTCGAGAGGTGAGACCTTATACTTTTCAAAAGTAAATTTTTATTACAGATAAAACAAATACTTTACAGATTTAATATTCTCATCAGGAGATATAATAAGAAAAAATGTTTTATATAAAAGTGAACAAGACGCTTGATTTTCATTCTTCAGTTTCATATGCCTTTGGTGAATGTTGTGCTTTAAGCACAAATTTAAAACATTACCCATCTTCTAGTGTTCGCAAATTGGTTTTATTTTAAAGTTTCTTCTTTTAAACATTAATCTATGACAATTTAAACAACTGATTGTTTACTCATAATTAAAATTGTTTAAAACTTGTAAGGACCTGTTGTTGTGTGCTTCACTGAATGCTACTCTTACTTTGGTCCATGTCCATTGAGCCATCTCTTGTGAGATCACTCTGAATAAATCCTGCACCCCAATATTGTGTTTCAGTATATGCAGAAATATCGGTAAAGAACTGTCAATGATCAGGTTGGACTCCTCTCTGTCCTGGCTATGCTTGAAACTTGATTAACTTCAACAGCACTAATTAACAAGTGTAAAAATAACTTTTATTTATGGTCCTATGATTGATTAAGATTATAAATACATAAACAAAAGGGATTTAAAGAGATTTCCCTGTATAAAGAATTCTTAAGCTGGGAGGATGAGGTTGACTAACAATTGCAGTTATGGCTAAACAACCCAGAGACATTCAACTATTTAAATGAAGGCAACTGATCGAGGGAGTTCTTTGGCTGATTGAGGCACCATGGTCGTCCGGCAGGGAAAGTGTTGGTCTACTAGTAGTGAGACCAGTTTGATCTTACTTACGATCTTTCAGCAACTGCTTTTATGACAAAGACAAACAGGTTTCTCAAATCTTTTTTTAGAAACAGTGATAAAAGCGATTTTTTTTTCAAATCGCTTTTATTGCTCTTTCCAGTATTGATGGGTTTCTTGTGAACCTTCAATTTGAAGTGGTGTGGGATGTTAACATCATCATTTACCATTATTTTCTCTTCAACTTACATTTGCTATCTATTCTAGTTGTTACTGCTGTTGGTAGTCCTCAAGTGATGTGGTTTTCTGTTATTTTGTACAGTTTTTTTTTTTTTTTAAAGCATTTCACCCCAAGCAAAGCGAGATGCCATTAGCACACAAGAGGTTACAGAGAGTGTGAGCAAGAGTAAAGAGGCCTGATAGAGAAAAGGATGAAGAGAAGGACAGGGAATAGATCAAGGCATCTGAAGATGTTGATTGACATTACATTTGAATAGTTGGAGATTATAGCTATCAGGGAAACAAGTAATAGGAAGGGGAATTCCACAGATGGGAGGTGCAAGACATGAAGCTATTGGAGTAGAATAGACAGCTACATTTAACTGCTTCGATAGTGAAAGGGTGGGACCAAGATGCCAGCCTAGAAGTGCGTTTAAATTCATGCAGTCTAGGAACTAGCAAAAGTAGCTCATCAGAGCAGTTACCAATGAAAGCATTTGTAGAAAAGGCAGAAGGAGGTGACAGCACATCTGTGAGAGAGCAACTGTAGATGAGATGCCAGATCAGGGCCAGTCACATTGCATATCCATCTCTGGATTTTGTCGAGGACCTTAAGACAAACAGTGGGGGCACCAGACCATATATAACAGCAGTATTCCATGCAAGAGTGAATGGTCAATTTAAAGACTTGAAGGATGGACTCTGGCAAGAAAAACTTTCTGGCACAACACAGAGAATCAACTTTCCTTGTGGTGGATGAAGCTAGTGATTCAATGTATTTGTTCTATCACAGGTCAGCGGACATTGTGAGACCAAGCAGTTGCAAAGAGGTGCTCTCGTGAAGTTGAGCATCAGACATTCTGATGGGAGGCAGGGAAGGATCCCTGTGGTGAGTAATAGAGAGCAGTTTTGTTTTTGAGGCATTAAAGTTAACCAGTCAATTCCTGCCCCAGTCTACAACCAGTTGGAGGTCCTTTTCAAGACTAATGGCTAGGTTAGTTTTGTCAGCTATACTAGATTTGCTTTTAATGCAGGTGTAAATAGAATAGTAGTGTCATTTGCATAGATGCCTAATTGGGAATTGATGACATTGGGAAGATCGTTAATAAGAATAAGAAACAGAGGAGGGCCCAGGATAGAGCCTTGGGAAACACCTGTGTTCATGGGAAAGGAACTGGAGGAGAATTTGTTAAGGATGACCTTCATTACATGGTTTGACAGGAATGATCGTATTAAGTCAAATAGTTGACCTGAAATTCCATATCACTTATGAAGGAGGCTGGCATGCCAAACCCTATCAAATGCTTTAGCGATATCTAGAGCCATGGCATAAGCTTCTCCATTATTGTGAAATGCTTGGTAAACAATTTCAGTTATGGACGTGAGCACATCAACTGTAGAATGGGCAAAGCGGAAACCTTATCGCTTATGAGAGAGGAGATCATGAAATGTAAGTTGCTTAACCACTTCGGTGTTGATTAAAGCCTCAAAGGCTTTGCTGAAGAGTGGTAGGAGACTGATAGGACAGTAGTTAGATGGGTCAGAAGGGTCTCCAGAGTTCTTAAAGACAGGTACAATCTCCCACTGGCTAGAGAACTTTCCAACAGGCTGGAAAGCAAGATTCATTGAGGCAGTAGTTATATAATTTGGAGAGGGCAGGGGGCCAGTTCAGGAGCACATTTCTTCAGGACAATGGTTGGTATCCAGTCTCCACTACTAGCCTTATGGGAGTCTAATTTAGAGATGATGCCCAGTACCAATGATGGGGTTGTGCAACTCACTCAATAGAGCCTCAGATCTAAGGCGGTGGAGTACGCTGGAGTAATGGATAGCGGCTTGGATTAAGGAATCGGAGAGCCGAGTTCGAATTCCAGTCGAATCCATTACATTCACTTACGTGCTAATACTCTTGGGAAAGGTGTGAATCCTCTTTCTTCTCCCTCCAGCTATGGGTAAATAGCAGGACAGACTGGGTTCTATAGCATTGGATGGCAACTGGTCTAGGAGAAGGAAAACTCTGAATTCAGACCTGCTCTTAGATGAGGGTGAATGGAGTCTCTCTGAGCCTTGGTTGGCAATCCATTTAGTGATGGTATCACGATAAAAAACACCCTTGATAGCCCTAGCGAAGCATAAAGAATTCAGCTATTTGACAAGATTATGAACTACACCAATCAAAGTATTGGTGAGTTCAATCTCGGCTGAGGCCGCAAGATGATGATGATGTGGGGGGTTAATTGGGTGTGGGTACACTTGATTAGTCAAGCATTGAGTTTGATGAGAATTTCCAAGCAAAGCATTCACCCTTATCAGCCGAGGAGGTCAGGACTTCAAATTGGTTGAGCAAAGAAGGTATGTGGGTTTACTGTTGTTAAGTACGCTCTTGCAGAGTCGCCAATAATCCTTGGAGCCGAATTTGCGAGATGCAATATGTTGTTTCATTCAGCAAATGGTGATTTTGCTTCATTGAGGATATGCTTGCATTCATTATAGGCAGAGACAAAGAGACGTCTGTTGCAATCAAACATGTCACTATGATATAGGCAGAAAAGGTGATTCCTATGGGTAATAGCAGCTGAGCAAGCAGCAGAGAACCAAGGAGATGAGTGCAATTTAACCTTATATTTCCTTGCAGAGATGAAAGCCTCAATTCCAGCTTTTACCCAGGAGGAGACCTCGGAAGAACATTCTTGACAGACACTATAGCATGATCAGAGTTGCCAAGAAAGCAGCTGCATGGTGTGACATGATTCAGGGATGGAGATGAAACACATCAAGAAGGGATGTCCAGGTTGTTGGGGCAATGTGTGAGAAAGTCAACTATTTGGATGAGGGATTGAGAAATTGAAAAGTTAAGGGTTTGTATGCCAGCAAGGTCAGTTATAGAGTTTTTAAGCCACTTGGTATGGTGGGCGTTAAAGTCTCCAAACACAAATATATGAGCAAATGATGGAGAGAAATAGCCTTGTCTATATTGTCGGAAATGCTTTTGAGTACACCACAGTCTTGGGAGGATGTAGACTGATAGAGGATGAAGCAGTAGCTTACAGCATTGAGGAGAGATAGATGGAGACACATGTATGAATTGTCTGGAGATTTTAGAGAAAGCTCTCTAGCCAGTGGGAGATGGTCCTTGACATAAACTCCAAGGCCATACATCTGGGTTTGAAGGTCTTTTCTAAGGAGAGGAAGGTAACCGGGGATTGAGAGGTCAGAGGAGGGGAAAAACAAGTTGAGGTTGGTCTCGCAGAGAGCCAGTATATCAGGAGACTTCACAATGAGGAACGATTCCACAATGTTCAAAGAAGGATAATCTTTGCCAAGACTTGCTCAAAGTCTTAGGAAGTGGTTGTATGCAGCTGACAGTTTAGATATTTCTGAATAGATTTGATGTCATGTATGCGTAAGTCTCAATCTGATGAGGCTATTTATGAACATGACTCAAGTTTTCAGGTTGATGTTTTGGTTCCATAGCAGTTTGCAGTGATGGGTGACACTCACTCTGGCACAACTTATTAGATATGAATTTTTTTTTCCTATACTTAATTTGTTATAGCTGATCCATACACTAAGTTATCTGAAGTGTTTAAAGTTTCTCTTTATATGTCCCATATTAACCTTTTATTTTCATTTTGTCTATTGTATCTACTTTTAAATTTGTCCATATATTTCTCATTTACATTTGGGTCATTCAGGAGTCTGTTGTATTGCAATTTGGGTGTTGCCTTAGCCATCTTCAGTTTCCATAATTTCACTCTAAGTTTACATAACACTGGAGAGTGGTCACTCATGCTAGTTGGATCTTGGGCATGTTTTGCAGTGTGAAACTGCATTCCTGAATCTCTTATTGATAGTTATATAGTCAATGTGGTTTTTTGTTTCTTCTGGTTTTCTCCATGTCTATATATGTTTTGGGTATTCTTGAAACTAGATGTTGGCTACTTCCTGATTATTCACCGTGCACCACTGAAGCCATTTTCCTCCATGTTCATTACAAATTTTGAGTCTGAATTTGCCAACTATTTCACCCTCTCTCTTCTTGCCTACTTTG